AAGCCAAGCGCCATATCCAAAAGGTAATGAAAGGTATAATGAGGAGCCACACTGAGAGTACAAAACTAAGGCGCAAAAAGAACTGCAGAACATGGCAGGCTTTCATTGCCATCCCAACAACAAACTCCTGAAAAGGAAGCCTTGCTGGAGCATTCTCAGCATACACAGGAGAGAAAGAAAATGCATGCTTGCAAACCTGCAAAGAAAGTCGAGCATAGTTAAAGCATTAAAATCACATGGCAACTCTGCCTTCTGGAGCATAATTTTTTTTCTTTTCAAAATTATAAAAAAAGGGACACAAAGAGAGAAAGAACCACATGTAGAACCTTTTCAAACATAAGTTCAAAAAACAGGGAGAGAAGGAGAGGAGAGGGAGAGAGGCAGAGACATATTCACATAAATAGAGAAACATAGAAGAAGGTAGATAAAGAGAACTAACACGCACACATAGAAGTATTATGAAATGACAAAAATAAGAATTCATGAGAAGCCATGTTCACAACATGAAAACGGAAACCATTTCCGATCAGCAAACTTCCCTAAAAGCTATAAATGCCATTCGTAAGGTTGTACTAATGTGGAAAGTGGAAACAACACTTGTGTCTTGTGAATGCCCTTTTAGCATCTATAACCAAAAGTTCAAGGCTAATCAATAACATACTTAAGTTTATGCCTTTGACAATGTGTTAATCAAATTTAATATTGTCGAGTCTAAAACCATGAGCATCACAAACAATGAAAAGAAACAAAATGTTCATCATATTCTCTTGACTCCAAAAATGGAAAGCTATCAAGATTTGTAGCTTCAATTGACATTCTTCGTAAAGGAATTAAAATGAAGCCAAAATTGTCTTCATTTATTAATCACCTTTGTCAATCCTTATATAACCATACCTAAATCAAATACCAAATCATGAAATTTAATAATAAAAAGACAAACCCTAACTGGAATTAAAATAATTAATGGAAAACCTATCATCTATACCAAAAATGATTAAAATAACCTAACCTCGCATTGGCGAGCATTGCTGTGATTCAGCCATTGAAGAAGGCAATCCTGGTGGACAAATTTGATACTTCCGCTACACGCGCAAGGGTATCGAAGCGGATTCTCAGCATCTCCCGGGTTCCGGCAGATCCTGCAAACGTCATCATCTTCTTCCTCCTCCTCCTCCATCTCCGCCGCACCCGCCGCCGCTGCCCCGAACGACATCGATGACGTCGCTTTTTCTTCCTTCTCTGACGATGTGAACGAAGTAGATGAAGACGGCTTCATGCTGTCTTCTACAACGGCATCTGTGGAGGAACTGGGGTTTTCAAATCCCGGAGGAGGACGAGAAGCCGCGGGAGCGATCTCCATAGGGTTGAGTTTGAGGAACGAGGAAACGAGTCGGTTGAGTCCGTGGGATATTGCAAATATTATTTTACAATCTCTCTCTCTCTCTCTCTCTTCTTTTGTTGATGATTGACTATGGATTGAGTTTGAAATGCGTAAACATTATATTGCGGGATATGTCGGCAACTCGGATTGGTTCGCCTCTTTCCCTTATATATATATATATATATATGAGTTTTGAGTGAGTTAATTCACCGTTGATTAGATATATATAAGTTGAAAATAATAATAATAATTCTTTGAATATTAAATATTATTAAAACGTTTTTTTTTACTTTTTATACAATTTTAAATAAAACAATTAAATAAAAATATATTATATATATGGTATAATGATAAAATTATCCTTTAATGTTTGTACATATGGTTATTTTGCACTCCATTCCTTTTTTAAGCATTTTATTTCTAATGTTTTAATTTTTCTTTGTCAAAATAATAATCAAATAATATTATTGACATGATAATTTCATGTGCTTCAAATTATTGGCGTGACATATTATATTATCATTTTTAATGACGTGATATATATTATATTATTATTTTTAATGAAATGTCACGTCATTAATTTTAATTATGTGATACATGTCACGTCATCACTTTCAATGACTATCTGTATTTGATTTTTTAATTGACTAATCTAGATCAAATATTATAGAGACAATAGCTAACCTCCCAACCCAATTTACTCTATTCGCAAACACGATAAATCGAACCCCTAACTTTACTTATGGGATATAGACTCACTAGACCAATTAATTGTTGGTCTTATTAGTTGCATATAATAATATCTATTATTGTTTAATGAAATTATTATTTTATTTTAGAAAACTGAGATTATATTGATTAATGTTAAAATAACTTGTGATGTTAATTTAATTAGTGGAAATAAAATTTGTTCTATAAATAACAAAAATTATTATCAATTGCAAGTAAAAATGGATTTGTTATATAAATTAAAAAACATTCAATATTTATTTATTAATGTTAAAATGTACTTATTTTAGTATTTAACTTCATAAAAAATACCCCATTAAATAATTTTAATAGAAAAAACATATTGTTTTTCTTTAAATACTTGATTTCGAATAGTTATGATTTTAAAGGGTGTGCGTTATCAATATACTAAGAAAATTTCAGAACATATATTAGTTTGTAATCATCATAGATATGGATGTCAATTTTATTAAACCCCAACGAGTTTCAAACTAACTCGGTCGAACTAATTTTTTATTTTAAAAATTTAAGTTCGGATCAAGTTTTTATTAAAGTGTGATCGAGTCAACTTGGATTCAAATTTAAAGTGACGAAAATCTGACTCGACTTGATATAATACTATAATATTCTTTTATATTAAAATATAGTTACAATAATACTCCTTTCTATTTTATTATTCAATTAAGGTCTTTTTTATATAATAAAAATATTATATATATTTGGATCAAATTGAATCCGGATTTTAGCCTAAAAATTGTGTTGAGTTTCATGTCGAGTGACACCCTCCTAAACCCGAATTGGGTCAAATATAATAAAGACTTCAAATTTTAAATTAAATTCGAATGAATCAAAATTCCGACTCAACTCGACCCGTTATCATCTATATTCCATGCTATTAGTAAAAACTAAAATATCATTAATTTTGTGTTGTGATTAATTGAATCGATATTAAATTATCAAAATTTACTTAATAAAAAATATTAAGTGGAGCAGTAAATAATTTGTATTTGAGTTTATTAAGTTTGTCTTCAATCGTTAAGTAACAACTTTCAATTTACTTTATTTAAATATTATATAAAAGAATTAAAAGGTAAAAATACTATGAAAATAATGTATTAGTTAAGGGTAATTTAATGATTTTTAAATAAGTTGATGTTTGATTAATCGATAATATCAAATACAATCAAATATATTTTTTAAACAATTTTTATCTAAAAAAAGAGGATTATTGCTCTTAATAGGTATTGAAACGACAACATAAGAGAAAGTAAACGTGTGAATTGAGAGTTGTAACAATTTACTCTATAAATTGTTAACAATGTGTTTCGTTTATCATTATATGATTTTTATATGATCTTAAGTAATAAAATTTTTATGTTAATAATTATAAAAAATATTTTTATTATATATTTAATTTACTGTTATGATTATAAATATTTATTGTATTTTAAATATTCTTTATTTTAATAAATTTAACTGTTTCTATTAAAAACATTTTATACTGGTTCTTGGAAATATAATAGTAAAATATATCTTCAACAAAGTAAAATAATAAATAAATAATAAATAAAATATTACTCAATAATTATTTGCTCAACTTTCACTATGAGCCACACCTGTCCACCTAGGGATGGTATTAGACTCGAACTTGATGGGCTTCGATCTGATCAGATTGGATCGGGTCGAGTTTTTTAAAAAAAAATCAGAGTTGGGTCGGGTTTTTTAAGTGTGATGTTCAGGTCGGATCAGGTTCGAGTTTAGGGTGAAAAATATCATACCCAACCCAAAAGAATATATAATTTTATATTATATATTTAGGAATAATTACAATAATACCCTCTATATATAATTTTTTTCAATTAAATCATTGTTTTTGTTGAATAAAAATAATATTTTTTATTATTTCGGGTCGGCCGGGTCGGGTCGGGTCGGGTCTCGGTGGAGGATCCTTTATTCTAGGGTCGTGTCGGATGAAAAAAACCCGACCCATGCCCATCCTATGTCCACCCCACCCCCTAATGCCGCGCGTGGATCGCCGCCTACCTCAAGCTTTACAGAATTGATACGAATAACAGTGTTTGAAAAGTTTATAATTTAAAAGTTTCAAGATATTTTTGTCAAAAACATAATTTTAAAATATAAATTAAACTAATCAAGTTTTATTTATTTTTAAAATTATAAAAAATTATAAATATTAAGTAAAAATTATTGATACTTTTTGTCTAATTAAAATTACTTTTTCAAAAGAAAATTAATAGAAAAAGATCGTTTTACCAAAATAAAGTTTACAATTAAGAATCAAATCAAATTATTATTTGTATTTCAAAAAATCTGATCAAATCAAACTAAATTCGGACTCTAATTAGGCTCGTATAGGTAGGACTAAATGAGACGATACAAATTACGAGTAACTCAAAATCAACTCGATCAAAACTTAGTCAACTTGAGTACGGTAGAAGTGAGAGTAATTATTTTAATCCAATTTGTTCATTCATAAACAAAATGTTAATTTTTAATTTTATTTAAATGATCTAATACCTCAATTTTATTAGTTTTAAAATAATTTTTAGATAGTGTTTTTCCATCCTAGTCTGGTCCTAAGCCCAAACCCTCTCATAGCGCGTGAGACCACCTTTCTTTCTCTTTCATGGAAATCTAAGATCCCACTGCATGAAACGACTCCATTTTCACGACACTTTATACTTTAATTGATCATCATGCAAAGATATTTGTTCAGCCCCCACCCTCAAATTTCCTCCTTGATCACCGCTCGTCTCTTTATTACCCTCCCTTTTTCACCATTTTATAGCAACTTTGTTGCGAGTAAATTTTATTGGTTGTTTGTCGGTGGCTAGTACTAGCATCCAATGCAAAACCCCGCTTCTTTTGACCCATCATAATATCACTCCTGCTTTCTGGGTTTTATCTAGTTTGTTTTTCAAGCTACAATAATTTCTTCTCTCATCACTTCACTGTCAGTTTCTTTACTAATTTTTCTCTGCCAATGTTTCATTTACCATGGATGGTGGTTTCAGTATATTTCACTTTTAAGCCATAGCTGTTGTTAAACAACTTGATTCACTGCATAAACATAGGTGAGAAACTTTCGAAGTTTTAGCTTGCAGTTTTTGCTTCTAAGTTGGATTTTTCTATGATTATCCATGATAATGATGTTTCAATGTTAGGATTTTCTCTGGGTTTTTATTATAGTAAATTTTCTTCAAGTCACTTAATTCACTTTCCTTCTTAAGTAGCGTCTGTTAGCAAGTTAAATTTGTCAAATATGGTAACTATTAATGGAATTTATATAGTTTTTTGGGACAAAAAATTAAAAAACTCTTATTTTAATCCCTTAATACATGCATCTGTTAGGGATGCCTACAATGCACTTTTAATGCTGTTTTAGTGATTGATTTGTTTTGCATCTACCTGTGTTTGTGATTACTGTATGAAGTATATATATGAGAATTCCTAGTGTTTGTTCTGAGTTAAGATGCCTGCTTGATCATTGAAAAGCTAACTTTATAGCTGCTTTTTATTTTGTTCTGAAACAGAAACTAAAATCATGGACCACAAAACATGGCTCTGGAGGAAAAAAACTTCCGAGAAGACCATTGTCGCTACCGACAAGGTCGACATTTCCTTGAAACGAATCAACGAAGAGGTTAATAAAAAATCTTTACCATCTTGCGCATGTTTTTCTACCCTTGTTTCTTGAGATGTTTATGTTTATGTTTATGATTCTTGGATATGATCTAAGACATTAACCTGAGGATCGGTATTTTTACTCACTAGGAACAAATGCCTACGATGGAGAGGGGACGAGACAGAGTAGTGAAAAATCTAAATGAGAAGCTTGCTTCGGTCCTCCTTGATAATCATGCTAAGGATGATTTGGCAACCAAAAATGTGAAAACGGCACCAGTAGCCAATGCAGGTGACTTACTTTTATACTCACTCCTCTTCCCCTAAAAGTCATATTGTGTCATCGCCTTGTCGGAATACCGATTTGTTTTGTTTGAAATGTGCACTTTGCTTTGACTATGATGTAATAGATACTAGTTCTCTTTTAGGTCGGGAAATGGCTGAAGCAGATCATGCAATCACTCTGAAGAAAGAGCTTGATGAAGCTTTGAGGCAGGGAAAATTGGCGAATGAAAAGTTGTCTCACTCTGAGGCTGCATTGAAGGAATGTATGCAGCAGCTAAATTTTGTTCGAGACGAGCAGGAGCGAAGGATCCATGATGCTGTCGAGAAGACATCTAGTGAGTTTGAGAAAGCACAGGAAGCATTACAAGACAAGTTGACAGAAACAAACAGGAGGCTCGAAGAGTTGACTATTGAGAAATCTAGGCTGAGTAAGGCCCTGCTAGTCAATGTAAAATTGATCGAAGATCAGCAGAAGCTCAAGTCTCAATCCGAAACAGAATTTAGTTCACTGATGGACAGGCTAGATCTCACCGAGAAAGAGAATGCGTTTCTGAAATATGAGTTTCATGTCCTCGAGAAAGAGCTTGAGATCAGAAATGAAGAGATGGAATACACCCGTCGATCATCCGATTTGGCACATAAGCAACATTTGCACGATGTAAAGAAAATTGCCAAGTTGGAAGCTGAATGCCAGAAGATACGCTTACTTTTGCAAAAGAGGCTGCCGGGTCCAGCTGCCATGGTGAAAATGAAGAATGAAGTCGAAATGCTAGGAAAGGACAAGTCAGAAAGGAGAAGACGGAAGCCGAATTCCACTAGGGATTTAATCGTCAAAGGCTCGACCGCTGAAAATCATCCTGAAAATCCAACCATGAGTATCAATCTCCTGTTGGAGCAGTTACACAATATTGAAGAAGAAAACAAGACTCTCAGAGAAATAATGGTAAAGAAGAATGCTCAAATCCAGTCATTGAGTTCAATGTGTTCTCAAACGTCATCCAGACCGACAACAGAATTCGAGATTCAGCCTAAAGAGCTGTTTAAAGGACAGAAATCGATGGAGCTAATAAGGAGTAGTCCCCTATCAAGTGAACTGTCTATAACATCCGGTTTCGACATTGGCAGTACTGATGGAAATAGCTCTTCTTGTTCATGGGCGAATGCTTTGTTTTCAGAATCTGCACAGTCAGATAAAAGACTTTGGAATCCAATTGATCGCAGGGCCATTACAGTTCCTGAAATGAGATTAATGGACGATTTTGTTGAGATGGAAAAATTAGCCTTATCAGATGGTAAGGAGTTGGTTCCATTTGAGCAGGGTCACTGTGGCTTCAGCAATACAAAGCAGATGCAGCCAAAAGATGTAGCCGGCGAAAGATCCTTTGATTGGCTTCAGGTTGTTTTGAAGGCTATCTCCGAGCACCAACGTATTTCCAGTCGAAGTTTAGTTGAAATACTCGAGGACATCAAAATTGCTTTGGGATGTAGCAATCTTCTAAATACCCCTGATGTTAACAAAAATGCATGTTCAATGCATCCCATAGAAGCTAATGCTCTACATATCAGCGCCTACATAGGCTGGAAATCTCCAAATGTATCTCCAACTACAGGTTCACTCGGTGGAGCTTCAAGTGTTGATACCTCAGCTGAAAAAACGAAAAACCAACAGTTTCAGCCTAATCTGAGCAAGTCAATCGGTAAAATCATCGAACTGGTTGAAGGAATTGGACCAACATCTTCCGATTCTTCCGAAAATTGTCTAGAGAAAAATCAGACTTCAAAACAATCACCAACTCATGCAGACTACTTTGTCCGTGTTTTTCAATGGAAAAGTTCAGAACTAAGCACCGTTCTACAACATTTTCTTCGTACATGTAATGATCTGTTGAATAAAAGGGCCGGTCTTGAAACTTTTGCTGAAGAACTGTCGTTTGCTTTGGACTGGATTGTGAACTACTGTGTTACTCCTAAGCAAGCTACGAGTGCAAGGGATAAGATCAAAAGGCATTTTGGTTGGAATGATTCACAAAGTGAAAAAGAAGTTGCTTCTGCAAACCACACTTTAGTGGTGGAATCGGATGTGACCCATATTTCTAAAGAACAATCATCGGACTCCTTTGCTTCTTCACCTGATCGAAGTCGAAGTGTTATCCCCGAAAAGGAGGGTATTTCTTGTAGCCTGGAGGAAGAAAACAGGAGATCAGAAGATGATTTGAAGGATATGAAAACCAGACTCGAATCAGCAACTAACAAGAGTAAGACCCTGATGGTACAACTTGAAGAATCAAATGAAAGGATTGGAGGCTTACAAGCAGAACTTAATATGTTAAAAGAATCAAAGGAAATGTTAGAGGATCAGCTTGAGAACCAGAAGTCAATTAATGACTATCTCGATACCCAGCTGATCGTTGCCAAAGCTAAACTAAATGAAATCTTCCAAAAGTGCTCATCTTTGGAAGTTGAGTTGGAGTTCAAAAATAACTCTTGTGAAGAGCTAGAAGCTATATGTCTTGAGCTTCAACTCCAGTTAGAGAGGTAAAGTATTGCGTCTTAGTTTTAAATCCTGTGAATTCTAAAGGAAGTTGTGAAAACTTTCTGATTTCTGAAACATTACTCGCAGTGTGGCAAAGAAAGAAACACCGACGTATGCCATGAATCGAGAGGGGAGGCAATCTCAAAAGGCAAGTCATTCACTAGTCAGCCTATTATTTGCCCAACCTACTAAAACTTTATCTGGTCTTTGGTATTTTTCTGATATGTAACTTTATATTTGATAAAGGCTGTCATAACTTTACAGTTGATATCAATGTCAAATGGGAAACTCTATCCCGAATAATGGTTTTATGTGGCATGTTGAACATACAGGGTCGGGAAATTACAGCGGCTTCAGTTAAGTTGGCAGAGTGCCAAGAAACAATTCTGAACCTAGGTAAGCAATTAAAGGTGTTGGCCTCATCGCAAGATGCAGTACTCTTCGACAAGGTTTTCTCCAATAGTAGTGCTGCTGCTATAAACAGAAGGGTGAACAAACGTCTCTCCTTGCACGACCAACTGCTAGCTGATGATGGTGGCAAAGCCACAGACATCAACTCTCCAAAAATTCAAGAAGCAGAAGATTCAACCCTTCCCGACTCCAGTAATTGCAAGAAATTGCAAGCTTCAGGTTTTCTGTTGCATAAATCAGAAGTACATCGTGGTTCCAGGAGGGAATGTACTAATGCCGGTGTTATGGCTTTGGCTATTGTGCCAAGCAAGAAGCAAGGAGTCGGTTTGCTAAGGAGGCTGCTGTTTAGGAGGAGGAAAAGTTACAGTAAGAAACCTCATTACCAGAATTGAACAGTGAGCCATAAAATAAAGAGGCAATGCGGCCACTGAAGGCAAAACAGTAGTTTTCATAGTAGTGTGGCGATTGGTTTTTCGTTTGGTTTTTCACGGTGGCGAGAGCTCATAATCCATTTGCAAGAACTCAGTTTGGTGTATAGTGTCCTGACTTGGCTATGTATAATTCTGTGTTGTGAGAAACCATATAACTACAGATTGAGTTGGTAGCTTTAACCAGAAACATCATTTGTGAGATTTGATCGTATTTTTTTTTCCTGAGATGATATCACTGCAAGTTACTTTAATGGCAAATGAAGTTTATCCTCTGCTTGGTAAGTTTGTAAGATACAAAAAAGATTCACAATAAATTTTATGTGATAAATGTAATGTTCATGAGTTTCTCACCTACAACTATTAAGTTATAAGTTTTTCTATGCTTTATTGGCCTCCTATTGCTGCCATTTTCATTTCAAGCAAGGCATCTTCAAAGCACTTAGCTAGGAACTCCGGGTCAGGGATGATATCTTTCGCTACAAGAATTTGCATCTCGGCTTTATCAGCATAACTCAACATGTGCATCGTGATAGCCTGCATTAACAACACTAGAACTCTTAAGTTACTCGAACTCAGGTGTCGGTGTTTGACATAGATATATATAAAGAGCCCAAATAACACATGTCGGTTCGACGGTGTCGTACCTGCGGCAGACTGGAGGTATTGACCTTAATGCTGGAGATAGGGTTGCCTGCAAGTGTAATCTCCTCTAGAGGGCCAATCATGTTTGAGATGGTGAAGGTGGTATTGCAAAGAAGCCTGTGGTTAAGCAAACAAGCATACTGCAAACACCATAAAAAACACACACAATTAGTAGACAAAAAAATATCGAAATCAACTGTTTTCTGATGTTTCAGGCTTTCAGCTACACCTTTGATCCTAGCAGGGTCATTACAAGATCACCAATCCTGTACGAGAAATAAGCTTCCAGGGAATTTTTCTTCCTGTCAACCATTGTCTTTGCTCTCTTCAAATACTTCAAAGGATCATTACCAGCTTTATCATAGAACACAGGTAGCAAAATTACACCAAATCTGTTCCCCCATCTTGCTTCTGAATTATCCTTCGTCAACTTGGATATTTTCTGACAAACAAACAAAGTTATCACCAAATGAATTTCCAACGTGAAAAAAAATTGGGCAAAATCTGGAATTGTCAACAACAATGAAACTGACCAGCAAACCTGGTTTTGATCTTAAATTAACCATTGCTACACCTGTCATACGAAGACCTTCATGCAAAGCTAACAGCAAACATTGAACTCTAAATCAGTTCCAAGATATTGTCAGGTGTTTGATCAAACTTTATGAACAAAGTTTACCATTTGGTGTTCGGTGATCTAAGTATCTTGATAGCCCGGATGACACCACCCCGAACAGGACATCGTTAATGGTCTGCAAATTTGCATTCCATCGGAAAGTCGCGGAATTGTTACACGAACATAGGTGTAAGTGTCGAATACGAATATGATTAGATTGGTTTTTGTTACTTACAGTGTTGGGAATTGCCTTTTTCACCTCCTTCATGTCCTTAAGCAAGAACCTAGCGGTAGCCAATTTCCTAGGCCAGAGTTCGACACCGTCACCGCCGGAAATAACCGTTTTCCGGTCACGTGCAAGATAAATCCTTGCTAAAAACTCTATCAAAAATACCAAAGTGAACAAAGCCATCTTCAAGAACCTCCACAAGGCACCAAGCAACCAGAATAGGCTCCTTCTTTTATCGCCCATAGATTCTCCAGTCTTCTCGGGAACCATCATGGGGAGTGCGTTCTCATCGCTCGCCTTCCTGCAACTGGCCATCAACATGGACATCAAGGATATCCCGTCCCCTAAAGCATGGTGAATCCGGAACACGAAGCACTTATGCGCCATTAAAAGATGGATCTCCCAGAAGGGTTTGTCCGTATTCAATGGAGTGCTCACTGATAAATCCGCCACATATTGATTCACTGCCATTTCATCATCATCGCTGTCTTCTTCTTGTTCGATGCTAAAACCTTGGTTTTCACTTCCATCCATGAATTTTCCGGATTTATCGAGCCGGTTGTTGAAGACGATGACGTGTTGGTCGATGTCGAGCTGGGTTCTTCTCCAGTGCTCGAATCCGTTCTCATCACGAACCAGCAGGCTGCAAAATCTGGGGTGCTTCCACATCAACGAAGACTTCACGTTGGCTTTTACAGCGTCTATGTCGATGGCGTTTTTGCCACGGAGGATACAGTGGATGACGACTTCTGTTTTCGGTTGAATAAAAAGCCGGCCAGCAGGACTCAATGGTTCATCGGATAAAGTACCCGGACCGGCCATGAAGTTGAAAAAAATGGGGTAATCAGATTGTTCAAAACGTCGGTGACCGAACACTCAACTTCTTCGCCGTAGTTTCCCCGGACCCGCATGAAGGTAGAACGTCTGATGGCATGTTTTATAGTTAATGCCGAGTTTCCTTATGGAAACTGAAACGTGGAGAAATAAAATTCCCCTGCTTACATCCCATATCCGTGTATGTGCCTCACCGCTCAGATTCTGACACGTTTATTAATAATTTATCACTCAACTAACAGAAAATTGTCGTTATCTTTAGTTTCCTTGCTTTCCCATTCGAGTGTTCCGTGTATAAACAAGTCAATGCCGCTTTGTAACATTTGTTTCTATTTTTCTCCTTAACTTTTTGCACAATAGTATATTATATCGACTTCATTTAAATGTTTTAATAAAAAATATTAATAATTTTTTTTTTAAATATTCTTATAAATAATCTAATTTGACATCTATAAAATGTACAATTTCACACTTATTAAATCTTTAATATAATTTTCTTTAAAATTTATACCTTAATATTAGTTCATACAATAAACTTTTGTTAGTTTACCTATAACTAAATAATACGTATGTCATATTATAAATGATGGGATGCATATAAGTACATGTGATGGGACATAGAGATTACTGGACGGTGCCACGGTGGGACATTTTTAAAGTGGATTTAAATCTATTTATTACGATATATTAATTTTTATCTCCACAATTTTTGGTAATCTCTACCATTAGTTATTAAGTTTTTTTTCCTCCACATTTTCAGTCATCACAAAAATTAACATTCTTTGATATTCTTGTTATGATCATGGTAGTCTCGTAGATAGCATTAAATCCTATTATATTTAAATATATATTTGTAAAACTCATAAAATTAAATATAAAAAAGGGTAGTTTTTGAAGTTTTAGGGATTTAGATCGTTTTTTGAAAATTCAAATGACGAGAAACGATCTTTAATAAGACGGACAATATAACATGAAATTAACATCATCAAACGACCGTTATATAAGATTAAAACATTATAAAATCAAAATTTTGGATGATCTTCTATCAATTTTGAGCATGTTTCGTTATAAATCAAACCAATGGGAAGAAAAATGAAAGGAATATGAATATTATTTATATGGTAATAAACAACAACCGACATGATCAAAATAATTTAAAATTTTATGTAGAAAATAACATTATAATAATGATGTTATTATAACATTAATAATTTAATAATCAAACAATAATTTTTTTAAAAAATGTAATAATTTAATTAAAAAATTGTAGTTTATTGACTAAATAAGCATATGGTTCGTCCCGGGAGTCACTGCCCTTCATTTTTTTAATTTAAAAAATTATCGATAAATCTTAATTTTAAATATTTTTTATTTTTTTATTCTCATTTTTATTGTAATTATACTTTCTCCTTATTATTCAAGGATAATTATTTTTGCCCTCCTTGAATTGAAATCCTGACACGTTTATGTGAAAGTAACTAATGGTGTAAGTTGTCTTTTCCCCCTTTGTGTGAGCTTCTCGATATGAACATGAGTATACCTAGGGTTAAGTTAGATCAAACTCTAAATGGGAAAAAATCTTATATATATATATATATAGATCAAACTCTTTCGATTTTGATACTCGACTCAACATTATATATATGGTTAAAATTTACTTATATTGTATAAATATTTTTAGTTTATATAAATTTAGATCGTTGTATAAATAAAAAATAGATAGCTGATGATTTTTCTAGTGAATATCTTCTTATTTACTTATTAATCTCATAAGATATTTTCATTAATTTATTAATTTTAAATTCATGTAAAAATAAATAATTTTATATTATATAATAGGATCATATCTCTTATTATATATATATATACACATAACAATTGTGACTCAAATATGAAAGCTGTGTATATCTAGGTGGAGAATTGTGACTAAAATGCGTAAACCATCAATCCTTATCTCTACTCTCTTCTTATCCCTTCCAAGAGAGGATATCTAAATAACAAAATAGAAAACGAAAGGGAAAGGGAAACAAAATAATATATATATTTTAATTTTAATTTTTTTATTTTCTGAATTAAATACATATATTATTATTATTATTATAAAATCGTTGTCTGAGTTTTAGGTTTTCAAGTGTGGCCCAAAATTGTATAACATCAATATTCATGCAGTGTGACTCAATATATATTTGTTATGTTCCTAGATCACTTAAAGCCCAAAAGGGCCTTGAACTCTTAAAACGCACCGTCCTGACATTTTTTTGAAAACCCTAACGCTGAGTAACGCAATCTCTTATATAACCCCTTACCGCCGCGGATTTAGCTTTGCTGGGGTTTTACTTCAACGTAAGAGACTTTGTTTTTCTGCGAAACCACAAACGGAACAACGATGGCGGAGAAATTAATGGAATCGGTCCAATGCTTCGGGCGCAAGAAGACGGCGGTGGCTGTAACGTACTGCAAGAGAGGCCGTGGTCTGATCAAGATCAATGGCTGTCCCATCGAGCTCGTCGAGCCGGAGATCCTTCGCTTCAAGGCCGTTGAGCCAATCCTTCTCCTCGGCCGTCACCGTTTCGCTGGCGTCGACATGAGGATCAGAGTCAAGGGTGGAGGTCACACTTCTCAGATCTACGCTATCCGCCAAAGCATCGCTAAGCACTCGTGGCTTTTTACCAGAAGTACGTCGATGAGCAGAGCAAGAAGGAGATTAAGGATATTTTGTCAGGTACGATAGGACTTTGCTAGTGGCTGATCCCAGGAGGTGCGAGCCGAAAGTTCGGTGGAAGAGGTGCTAGGGCAAGATTCCAGAAGAGTTACCGTTGAGGAAGTTTATGGTTCGTTTGCTGTTCTAATGATTAATATGGTCATGCTTATCCGAGTTAAGTTTTATTATACGGATTTAAATTAGCTTGTGACTTGAGTTTCAGATTTCTTTTGGTAGTTATTTTGCTTGCTTAAATCTATAGATAAACGTTTCAGACTGCTGCTCTTTCTCGTTTATTGTCTGGTTTTTAATCATAATTGGGGATTGTTTAAAGCAGTTATAGTTGATAATTATATATTACTTTAGTACAATGGAAATAGCTTTTAGATATGTTGTAAACCCTATATTTGCTTCTATATGCATTTGGTATGTTAACATTTGCCGTTGTTTCTGAGTCTTGTTATAGATATTGGGACATGAAGCATCTTGTTCATCTTGTATATAGCTTCATGCGTACTCTTTTGTATATAGCTGAAGTGGGAAGATTTAGGAGGTGTTTGTTTTGCAGATGTAAAAGGTCTGTAGTTTGCGGACCACATCTGCGTCATCTGCAGCAGAAGAGATAGACCAAAAGTCTGCCGTCTGTAAGAAAAAAGACTGTTATTTTTAACGTCTGTAGACTGCTAAAATAAACTGAAATATAATAAATTGATTTTTAAACTTAAAAGATTTTGAATACTGAGATTTAATAATTTTAGTTTACAATCTGAAATTTAAATAATTTATACAACTACAATAATAATTTTTTTAGAAAAACAAACATCACCTTAATAATTGTTATAAGTATCACATAATCACATGTATATTAGTTTATAAGTTTTATAGAATATTTATAAATGATCATTAAATTATAT